TGAGGCTGCTGTGAACTCGCCATCCTCCTGCCTCAGCCTCCTGAGCTCATGTGACGTGCCGGGACCTGGCAGGTCGGGCTCCAGAGCCCAAGCTTTAGTGGCACGCAGGACGAAACGGGGCCCCATCATGGCCTGTCTGTGGTGGCCTCCTTTCTCTCTCCTCTGCAATGTACTTGTGCATGTCTGGAAGGTTCCGGAAAAGCTGCAGGATTCCACAGAGTGACGTGTGGGTGCCACCCGGCTATTCAAACCCTGAGCCACTCCTTCTGCAGCCCCTGCCCTGGTCCAGACCCGGGGACAGCCTGAGCAGCTCCCACGGGACCCACGGACCCCCCTGAGCCGTCGGCTGTCCCTGCCGCGGGGCCTGCTGGGCCGTCCGTCCATCCTCCCTGGGGACAGTGGAGGAAGGGCCAGAGGAAGGAAGCTCTGATCTTGCCCCACAGACCACCCGAGGTGGAGAGCAGGCGAGTGAGGCCTGTAGCACTCAGTGCCCTTGACATCTGGTCACTGCGGGACAGTCAGGAAGGTCCCTTTGGTTAGAAGGAGGTGAACGTTTTCCTGGGGGGGCTCCTCTCAGGGCAGGCCCCTCTGGCTCAGCCAGGTGTCTTTGCACAGCCTCTGTTGTGACGTTCCCTTGGGTAGTTAACAGGGGCCCCCACCCAGTGGCCGCAGGGACTGGAGATAAGCATGCCACCTCACCAGGACTCTCCATATGGCCTTGCCTTCTTATCGCCACCTTAACACCATCAATCCCCTTGGAGACAGTGGCCTGGTGTGTTAAGGGTGCTGCTCTGGGAAACATTTGTCTTGTCTCTGTTCCTTAGAGCTGTGTGGCTTTGGGCCAAGCAATGGCCCTCTCTGAGCCCCAATTGTTTTCTTTAGGTAGTTCTCTAAGGTTATTTTCTGTCCGGAGAATCTGGAGTTCAGGAGTCAAGGAGTCAGTTGCAGAGTGGACGTAGTGTTTGTGTGCCGATATGGGTTTCTCCACGGGAACATACCTGACTCGTACCTGTCTTGAAGACCCTGCTTTGCCGTTGGGCACAGGGATGAGGAAGAAAAGGGCGAGAAGGAATGTCCATTTAGCCGATGGCTCTGAGCGTTGGGGAATCTAGTGTGGGCTGTGAACCTGGGAGAGAGCTCTCGTGCAGAACATTTTGCTTTTAAAAAGAAATTCACAGCCAGGTGCAGTGGTGCATACCTGTCATCCCAGTGGCTCAGGAGGCTGAGGCAGGAGGATCATGAGTTCAAGGCCAGCCTCAGCCACAGTGAGGCCCTAAGCAACTCAGTGAGACCCTGTCTCTAAACAAAATGCAAAACAGGGCTGGGGACGGGGCTCAGTGGTGGAGGGCCCCTGAGTTCAATCCCCAGTACCTCCCACCCAAAAACAAACTTTACAGACCCCCTTTTAATCCTGAACCTGGTGAAGAAACTGTCCTGGGCAGGTTCCCGCTGACCGCCAGGGCACCTCCTCCAGGACACCTCCCAGTACCCCAGTACCCTCATTCCCAGCACCCTGTGCCCGCTCCCTGTGGTCCCCAGGGGGTGGCCACTGCCCATCCCTGCCTGTGTCCCCACGGGAGGGCAGGGGCCTGCTGGTCGCATGCCTAGCCCTGAGTGTGTGTGGCAGACCCCTGCTGGGTGGGACCGAGTCCCAGCCTCCGTCACTGCAGGGGTCACACAGCTCCTTTCTCGGGCAGCCAGTGACCTTCTGGCTGCCTCAGTGCAGACACGTGTGTCCCCAGCTGCGTGATGAATGGCCTGGAGACGGAAGGGTGAACGTGCAGCTACCCAGGGGCTGGGCTGCGGGGCTGGGGCAGGACCTTTGACGGGGCTCCTCTCCCCCTCCCCCTTCCTGGTGCAGCTGGAGCAGAGTGAGGCCAAGTGCGAGGACGCCCTGAAGACCCAGAAGGCGCTGACCACGGACCTGGAGAACATGCACAGCGAGCTGGAGAACATGACCCGGAGCAAGAGCCTGGTACTGTCCCCTGCAGCCCGAGGACATAGGAGGGACAGGGGCACCTAGAGTGGACCTATTGGGTGGCACCTGGGAGGAACAGGCATTCATGTAGACCTACTGGGTGCTCAGCTCTGTAAGAGGGGCAGGGACACTTAGTGTAGACCTACAAGGTGCTCAGCATTTTGACTGCTGGCATCCTACTGTGCGCAGAGATTCATTACGGCTAAGGGCAGGCATCTAGGGGGTCAACTGTGCGCTCCACCTGCAAAGGTGCGCAGGGAGACACGTGGGCCTACTGTGTGCTCATACTGTGACGGTGCATCCAATATGAGCCTGTGGTTCACTCAGCACCCTGAGTGCGAGCTTTTATCATGAGCCCATGGGGTGCTCAGCACTGTGGGTGGTTCTCAGGCATCTGCTGCAGTCCTACTGTGTGCTTGCCACCATGAGAGAACTTGGTCCTTATGGTGTGCTATTTCATGTGTTCCCCAATAAAGTAGAGACCAGGACATCTTTTTAGTACTGTGAAGAGAGCCCTTTATTGTGCACCTACTGTGTGCTCACCACTGAATGGGGAGAAGTGAGCACACACTGTGGGTCTAGTCTGCTGGGATGGGGTGTGCTTTTCCACATCCCTGTCTGCACAGGGAGTGTTGGGTTCATTTAAATTTGTATTCGGGGTGTAAAAGCCTCATGTTTGTGCAGAGCTGGGGATTTATAGGAGAAGCTTATCTCTTGGTCCTGTTGGCTCTTTCACCCTATATATAT